TGTACAGGGGACTCGATGGGGACACTTCCAATGTGTGCTCGAGACACTGTGGATGTCTAAAAAGTGTGAAATTAGCACTCGGATTTAGACAACCAGGAGGCATTCAGAAGGCACCCATGGAGACACCCTGGAGAAACATAACAGACCGAGGAGACAAATAAGACAACATGGTGACAATCTGAGGACACAGTTGTACCGGGTAATTCAGAGCACGCGCCGCCGTGTTGCGGGTTTGCCTATCCTCGACTTGGCGGGCGCACGGGTGAGGGGTGAGGAGGGGACCCCTCACCTCACCGGTCCATAGCCCCCCGGCTCCCTTTGTGAGTGGGCCCTGCCCTTGTCTGCTGTGATGTGCACTTTCAGTTTCAGCGAGCGCGCGCTGCTCTGTCTCTTTTCCTCCCACGCGGGCGAGCGAGAGAGAGCGCGCCGAGGTGCGTCCCCCCACCAGCATCCCAACTCCAGCGGCGGGCTCCGGCGGGATGGCTCCGGCGGCTCTGCACGGGTTCAGTTCAAGGCGGATAGAACCTGAACGGTTAAATGTGCCGAAAATCTGAAAACAGCGACGTCGAGCTAAAGGTTGAGCGCACATCGTTTGCTTTAGTCACTTTAAAGTCTAGTGCCCCGTTTCAGAGATATGACGTGATATTTTTAATAATCTTTGTTTGGAAATGAAAACTTTTCAATCAAGTTAAATTTAAGCGCATAAGTTAACGTTGCGCCACTGATGTTAAAATGCAGGTTTGTTCCTTGTTTCCTTCCGCACATTTTGACATTAGTCCCGTTAAAATCGCACGATTAGTTTCGGAGCTACAGCGAGTACCGCATACCCCTGCACTTATGCCCTTTTTTTCAATTTCCGACGAACGCTCACGAGTTAGGTCACTAGAATTTTCGGCATGTGATTCAGCACATCAAACTGCATCGATTCCATCAGATTCCAGCTTGACTAGTTTGTGTTCCGGGTTAAAACCTTCGTTGACTGGACTACTAGACAATCGGTCAGCCGCGTGCTACGTACACTGCAGGAGGGCGCCCCTCTGGGATACCGTCCAATTAGTGTTTTGCGCCCCCGCAAAGTGTCCAACCTTAAGGGTGGTCCGTTATAGGACCGACGATAAAACAGAATTATAAATGGCTCGCGTGATTCGGGGGCCCAAGGGCATGAAGATGCGCAAGATAATAATTAAAGAATTAAGATGTTATAGCTTGATTATTTTTTTCTCGTGAGTGAATGAATACTACATTGTTAGTAAAACCTACAGGAAATGTCTACGATGCGCCCCGTCAATTTGTCATCAGGTCCACGACCGTAATTTTGGATTACGGTCCACCTCGTACGGGATGTAACGCACGGAAAAAATTCGGTATGCGAGCTAACGCTAACGTGTTAGCTATCTGGGGGATAGACAAGAAAATTGGGAACAGTAGCGTATAATTCGTTGCGAGAGCTAATCTGTGGATGTCGCAGATAAAGCGTTCCCTGCAGTTGCCCAACTGCATTAGTTGTCTGAGCGAAAGCGAAATTCATTTGTGATATCATTCGCTCGGACAACTTATACAGTTAGGCAACTAGGGAGCGCTGTATCTGCGAAAGCCACAGATTAGCCCTCGCAACGAATTATAAGCTACTGTTCCCAATTTTCTTGTCTGTCCCCCAGGTAGCTAACACGTTAGCTCGAATACCTTCTGTAAAGCTAGAGCAGCTCGTCCTGCAAGCAACGCTTTGCAGAACTGCAAGTATTTAGATACTTTTGTAATTACGATGCATTTACTTTGCAATTACAAAGTGGTGCTGCTTTGCAATTGCGAAGCAATGAAATCACGCTGAAAAGCATCGCCTTGCAATTGCAAAGCATCACTTTGTAATTTCAAAGTAAATGCTTCGAAATTACAAAGGATATAAATACTAAATACTTCGCAGTTCTGCAAAGTGTTGCTTTGCAGGAACAGTGCGTACCGAATTTTCTTAAAACATATATTTATAGTTCTTTTGGCAAATCAAAAATCGAAAGCGGTCCTTTTTGTGTTTTAATCTAGTATAAAGTCGTTGTTGGTCTGAGACCCGCACATCAACTAGCCGATTTTGACACAGCTTAAAGGGTCGTAGTGAGAAATTTTAAAGATGTTGCTGTACAAAATGTATTTCAAAAAGCTGGAATACACACAGAAAAAAAATTACTGGTGGGTTCTACACAAAAACACCCGAAGTGAAAATTCATATAGTATAGTTTGTCAGATTAATAAAATCACACTATATACAAAAACTTAATAAAAGGGATTCAAACCTGCCGTCTAGGTTAGGTTTGGTTGTAAAATGTACAGTATACACTCAACGACAAAATTCTGAAGTTTATAGTACATTGATTATATGTTGCTAAGGAAGAATATTTCAATCGCTATCAAAGAATGCAAACTACTGAAATATTATTCTCAGCGCTCAGTTCAAAATAAGTACTTTTCTGAAAAATTAGGAAGTACATTTCTGGAATTTTACAAAGTAACATACACATAGCCCAGTAATATGAAACTATCGATCGACTGTCGTGCATATCGAAAGATTGTCGATCGATAGTTTGTATTATTTTTACAGAAATGAAAATCATATTTAATAGCAAATACCTATCCGAACTAAAAGCGAAAACCCATTATGAAATAAGCAACAAGCCTCGAACACAAAATACGAAAAACTTAAGACACATCTGTTCTTATAACGACGATAACATAATAAGTCCAAACAATTATTTAAAACTCAGTTTCTTAAAACTGAGAGCTAGGACGGTGAACACCAATGAAGAGGTAACTATATTAAGTAGTTGAATCATACAAATGCTTGTGGTTCAAATTAATTACGTTTAGGTAAACTACTACAACGGTAAAGCAAAAGTGCCACTTAATACCTTTAAAGGGTGCTTAACGATTTATCATTTCTCAAGGCATTAAAACTAAAAGACACTAAAATTGAGCACCTTCATGACATTTAGTGCAATAACATTAAAAATGTGTTGGCACACCTAGAAAAGTAAAAAACTACTACTTTTGTTTTACCAAATTAAACACAAATCACAAAAAAAAAAAGATACAAAAAAATTATTGGTTGATACGCTTTCGAAATCCGCAAATAAACATCATATAAACAAGATTACTCATGTTGACGCATGTGGTCACGAAGTTTATCTTTGCGGCTCAAAGATTTGTTACAAACAGGACAATGTAAGGTTCTGCTCGGATCTTTAGTTTCATTGTGCCTCTGCTTGTGCCTTGCCAAGTGTTCACTTTGAGTTGCCGCGTAGGAACACAAATTACATTTATGTGGCTTCCAGCGGTTGTGCACCATCATGTGCTTGTCAAGGCGTTTGTTGTGCTTGCCACACACAGTACAAACCCCCGTCCGCGGCCCCGAATACTTCTGCACCTGGCCCGGCTCGGTGGGCTGTTCAGCCGCTGGAGGCGCAGGCGGGCGTGCCTTGCTCCTCGTCGCGACCTTACTGGAGCGCGCGCGAGGAGACGGGCGTTGGGCTGCGGCTTTTGAAGGCGGGCGCTTGGGCCGGGTCGGCTCCGTCGTGGCTGCTGGCACGACGAACGACGGCACGCTCTTGACCCACGGGCTGCTGTCCGAATCGCAGGACTCGTCAGAGTGGATCGTCGATAGCGGGCTGCCCAGCCCGCTGTCCGCGTCGTCACTAGGCGACGGCAGTGGCTGCGCCGTGAGCTGTGCAGCAGTCACCTGCGCCGTTTGCATCCGCAGCATGATTGGCGGGGGAACGCGCTCCAGGGTAGGCACCGTGGGCAACTGCTTAAGAACGGCTTGCTGTTGAGGCAAGCAGTCTAAGCGCATGCGCACTACAGGTGCCGGCGGGCATTCAAGGCTCTGCGGAGGAGTGAGGGTTATATACTCTTCAATATCGGAGGGGAACTCCGTGCGGTCTGCAAGGGACGGCGTGGTGGGCGAGCCAAAGGGGTCAGAGGGTGGCCCCGACACGGTCACGGCAGGGGGCCCCAGCTCCAGCGGCGATGCTAGTGGCGGCGACTCCAGAAGCAGGTGCCCATTCGCTGCTTCCAGCGCGAGGGGCGGGTAGTCCTCCAGGGACAGGGGCTCCGACTGTACCAGGATAGGCAGCAGCTGCGAGGCTGGCTCCTCCGGGAGCTGGTGCGTCACAACAGGCACGGCGTCCGACTCCTCCAGGTTGGGCAGCAGGTGCTCGGCTGGCTCCTCCACAGGCAGGCGAATATCGAGGGGCGGGAACTCCTCTTCTACAGCTAGGAACTTCAGGCCCATGTTAGGCTCCTCCTCCTCCTCCTCCTCGGGCCACCGCGTGGTCAGCAGCAGATCTACGGCCAGAAGTTGAGCAGCGGCCGGCGGCGTCGGCGGGACAGGAGGAGAGGGTGGGCTGGGTGGAGGGGACGGCACAGCCACCCCAGACAGCAAGTCCGCGAACCCACTCCATGGAAGTTTGGGCTGGGCGTCGTCCCCCTCGTCTACGGCCTCTCCCTCGACCGCGTCGTCCCCCTCGTCT